ACCCTAACCCTGACCCTGACCCTAACCCTAACCCTGACCCTGACCCTGACCCTGACCCTAACCCTAACCCTGACCCTGACCCTGACCCTGACCCTGACCCTAACCCTAACCCTAACCCCTAACCCTAACCCTGCCCCTGACCCTGCCCTTGACCCTGACCCTGACCCTGACCATAACCCTCTAACCCTTAATAAAAATAAATTAATAAAAGCTGATCCCAAACCCTCTCCTCCTCCTCTAACTTGCCTCCTCGCCCTGATTCCCTCAACCCCCTTCCTTGACCCCTCTGCTCCTCCACTCCGGATCTCTGCCTCTCACTGAACGCCTAGCATCCCCTGACCTTTCTGATCCTTTCCCTTCCGGTGTCAGGATTCCCCTCTTCCTGTGCTCTAACCCAAGGGTCCAAACCATACCCCCACCAACCCCCTTCTGGTTTCTGAATCCTTCTGGACTTCTCTTACTTGGGCTCTGAACCCCCTTCCTGGTTCTTTGACCCATCCCCAGCCTCCCCTCTCCCTAGCCCCCTTCCTTAAATCTCTCTCCCTGCCCTCATTCTGGGGACACGTGCCACCCTCCCTAACTGCAGATCGATGACAGCGTCGCCAGCCTTGTTATCACGCAGCTGCTGTTCCTGCAGTCGGAGAGCAACAAGAATCCCATCCACATGTACATCAACAGCCCTGGTGGCATGGTGACTGCCGGCCTGGCCATCTACGACACGATGCAGTATATCCTGAACCCCATCTGCACGTGGTGCGTGGGCCAGGCCGCCAGCATGGGATCCCTGCTCCGGGCCGCGGGCAGCCCGGGCATGTGCCACTCGCTGCCCAACTCCCGCATCATGATCCACCAGCCGTCTGGGGGCGCCCGGGGCCAAGCCACAGACATCACCATCCAGGCGGAGGAGATCCTGAAGCTCAAGAAGCAGCTCTTCAACATCTACGCCAAGCACACCAGGCAGAGCCTGCAGGTGATCGAGTCGGCCATGGAGAGGGACCGCTACATGAGCCCAATGGAGGCCCAGGAGTTCGGCATTTTGGACGAGGTCCTGGTCCACCCTCCCCAGGACGGTGAGGACGAGCCCTAGCTGGTGCAGAAGGAGCCCGTGGTGGTGGCAACGGTGGCAGAGCCTGTCCCAGCAAGCTCCTGAGAGCTGAGCCTCATCTCCAGAGTCACGGTGAGGGGCCGGGTGCAGCCAGACCCCTACGTGAGCCCTGCTGACCCCTCGCTGCTGAGCCTGGAGAGGCCCCTTGAGGAACTTTGGATCCGAGGGATCCCCCTGTGGGTGGGGCAGCCTGGCTGAGACACTGTGATTTTAAATTAAACCTCTTGTGTTCTTTGAAAAAAAAAAAACCCTAACCCTAACCCTATGCAAAAAGGCCTCAGGTTCAAGGGGAGACACAGGCAGGCGTGTGAGCAAGACATTCTGTGTTTTTGCTCTGTGAACTACCGTCCTCACAGAGAAACACATGGCTCCTCTTTTGGCCCTCCTCTGCCTGTTGGCCGTTCTCCACAGTCAGTTACCCACAGTTTCAGTAATGGTGTGATGGGCATGAGGTTCTATGTCTGTGTCACTGACGCTTGTTCTCTGTCCACAGGTGTCCTGAGTGAGTACCACCTTGTGAATGGGGGGAGGGAGTAGTGGCCTCCTCATAGATGCTCAGCTTCACCTGTGCTGCCTACACAAGATCGGTTTCCAAATATTCCATATCCTGGGTCAGCCTTCCCCATGGGAAGGGTCTTGAATGGATTGGTGTAATCTGGGCTAATGGGAACACCAACTATAGCCCCAGCATTCAGTCCAGAGTCATCATCTCCAGAAACACAAGCAAGAACCAAGT